GGGCGTCCGGGTCAACCTCCACGCCCTTGGGGTATTTGAACTTCCCCTTGAGGATGCGAGCGTGCACCCTGTCATCGTCACAGCCTACATAAACCTGTTTTCACGGTTGAGTTGAGGAAGCTTGGCGGCTCACGAGCATAGACAAACTTACATGCCACGCTGTGAGCATTTCATATAATACACATCCAGCTGCCCACCAGTCGATGCCGCGACCGAACTCCCCATCGAGGTCCTCCCGAACGACCTCGGGTGGCTTATATACCGGCGTGCCTATACCAACCCAATCCTTCGCATCATCCTCCTCCTCCTTCTTAGTGAAGGAGAAATCGATCATGCACAGGTACCCATCCCTGCCCATAAGAATATTATCAGGCTTCACGTCCCTATGCACGTAGCCACTCCTGTGTATGTGGTCGAGCGCGCACACGATGTTGGCGAAGTAAAACCGCGCCGCGGACGTGCTGAGCGGGCCTACCGTGCGGACGAGCTGGTGCAGCGACCCGCAGGGCAGCAGCTCGAGGTGAAGGTAGCGGTTCACATCGTCCTCGTGCACGCTGACGAGCGAGCCCACGTAGGGGTTCCAAGGCAGGCGCGCGAGCGCGGCGCGCTCCTTCGCGTCGTCGTCCTGTTCGTACGCTCGTTAGCACTGCGGCCTAGTATCGCGCAAAAGCAAAAGATAAACCGCACCCATTCCGTCTCTTTCGTCTCCTTTTTGCGCACGTACTTTGTGGCGAAAAGCGGGGCGCGGAGTTCCAAGGGGTGGCTGCACTCCCTGTGCAGCTGCGTCAGAGCCACCGCCCCAAGGCCGCCTTCTCCTACGAAAAGGAAGTGAAAGATCAGTCAGCGTTTAATCAGGGCCTGGGGCTGTCGCGTAAGGACGGACGGAAGTACGTACCCAGAGCGCGCACCAGTGAGAGATCCCCCAGGCTGATCGGAGGCGGACGGCGGGTGGAGCCAGAACCAGGGGGAGGAGAGAAGGGCCGTTGTTCGGGGATGGGCATCGAGGGTCCTGCCTCAGCGTTTCTCTGGGCGCCCCGGGATCGTGGGGGTGAGCGGGATAGGCGGGGGACAGCACTCGGATTGCGAGAACGGGGAGGTGAGCGGGATAGGCGAGAGGGTGGGGAGGGTGGGGCGGCGGGCATCTGCTGACGTGCGCGCACAGCGTCTTTGAAACCCTTCCAAGGCGCCCATACAGATGACGATATCGGGAGGGGTCGGCTGCGCGCCGCGTATAAATTGAACTATATATGCGCGATGCCTTGTAAGTTCTCCGGCAAGAGGTGGATGGGCATGTCACATACAATGCTATCGTGCGCATGTGTTGACGATGCGCTGGTGGAAGTAGCACCGGTCGCACGATCTGAATGGGCCGGGGACGGATTCTGATACGGAGTTTCGTCTGTATAGTGGTCGAATGTGAGGCAGGTTAAACTGGCTTACTTGTTCTAGCTCGACGCGTCGAGCACGTTTCGGACCGGGGGATTGATGAGGCCATCTTGGGTTTACCGGTTCCTTTCCCTTGAATATGAAGTTATGAACCCCTTCCCACACGAGATTGACGGGATTGAATACGAACCTTGCGCGATCGGAATCGGGGCGTGGCGGCTGTTGCTTCATGAGGGATGCCACCACCAACCTCGGGCACCTGTGGCTTGCAGATAATAGCCATGACTGAGCTCGAAAAAGGTTTGGAAGATGTTGTATGGAGTAAGTAGTGACAAGCTGTTCGAGACGGGGAAGCGGGGTGGTGGTAGAGTTGTGCGACGGAAGCTTTATAAATTGTGTTTGCCACACATCAGACGGATCCTGAGTGAGACAAAGGGTGGCATACCTGTTCTATTCTTAGTGTGTGGCAGGTTTCACGAACCAGAATGTGGACAATGAGTCGGTGGCACGGTTATGGCAGTGCGAGAGATGGAACACAAATTAGGGTTGGATTTGATGGCGCGGTTCGGAGTTTATAGCGCTTGGCTGTCAGAAGCAGGAGTCGGAGTTTGTCTCGTTTTAGCATCTTTGTCCAAGGCAAAGAGCGAAGGACGAGTTGCAACCATGTGACTGATTGGTTCGCTTCCAAGGTCTGAACCGCTAAGAGATAGCTTCAATATTCAATGTCATAGTCTGCAGAAAAAGAAGCCTGTTCAAAAGAATAGTTAGCCGATGGATGTTCCAGAACCAAATTTCATTGGTGGACGCTGTGTGTAGGGATTTCTCCATTCCGCTTAACAAGGCACAAGCGCATGATCTATCGTACTCGCAAGTGGCACCAACGGGAAATCGAACTGGTAGCGGTGTCTGCCTGGCACTTGACGTGATGATACGGCACTCGCATGTAATTGGAATGCAGACAAGAGCTACGCACAGGAGATTGAAACGATGATGGTCAGCCACGGTAGAAAGCATCCCTCTACCTCTGCAACGTTGGACTGCATAATGGGAAGGTCAGGTTGTTAGTGATGGCTTGACAGCAAGGCTTTGAATGACTGGGGCAGATTTGGCGGGTGATAGGATCTGGCGGTAAGGTGGATTGAGGCATAGAATGACCGTGCATAGACTCCGGTCATTAACGTTAACGGTCAACAACGTTGTTGACTAGTGTTAACGCAGAACCCTTTGACTGCGGTGAATAGACCGCGCACCGTTGCGTTGAATAGATCGCGCACTGCGTATATTGATACCCGCGCTTATCTTATCACGGATGACTAACGTTGACTAACACTCGGTATACTATTACTAGTCCCCACTAGTTATCCTTACCCAGTTACCACTAGTCACCCCCCGCCATGGACTACGAAAAGCAGCCCGTCGCCATCGACCTGTCCCACCACCTCTCCGATGTGTCCAAGGCCCGTCGCACGTCCCCTCTCAAGGGCCTCTCAAAGTATATGGGGAAACCTGGCGTTATTACTCTTGCTGGCGGTTTGTCGGCCTTTGATCTCTACCGATGAACCCATTCAGTAACCTATGCAATTGCAGGAATGCCCAACCCCGGTTACTTTCCCTTCTCCACCATCACCGCGGACGGCCTCGTCCCCGACTCTTTCCCAGTGTCTACTTCCTCCTCCCAGTCCTCGTCCACCTCTTGGTTCTGGAAGATCTTCGGTGCCGCTCCCCGCAAGGAGAAATCTACTCCGCTCACTATCCCCAAGTATGTCAAGGATCCTTCTTCCCACGTGAACCTCGCCACCGCTTTGCAATATGGTACCGCCACTGGCTTGGTGCCGCTACAGAAGTTTCTCCAGGAATTCGTCACCAAAGTCTACCAGCCCGCCTACAGCAACTTCGTGGCTCTTGCTCATACCGGCAATACTGACGGATGGAACCGAGCTGCCTTGACCCTCTTCAACCCCGGCGAGTGTTTCCTTACCGAGGAATGGACATATCCCTCTGCCTTAGCCTCTGTCAATCCACTCGGCGTCACCGCGGTTGCCGTTGGTATGGACAACGAGGGAATGTCCCCCGAATCACTGCGCAAGATATTGGCCGAGTGGGACGAGTCCGTGCAGGGCAAGAAGAGGTATTTCAGTCCCTTTACTCGGCCAATAGAACCTGTTGCCAACATCAATCAGGCCTCATGTCATGTACACTGTTCCAGTGGGTCAGAACCCAAGCGGTGCTGTGAGTTACATGTTCAACATTCGCCACCTCGGACTGACTTGTCGTCCCAAAGACTATGGGTGGAAAGCGGAAGAAGGAGATCTACGATATCTGCGTTGAATATGGTAAGAACGCTGCGCTTCATATCCACGGACGCTACCTACCGTCATCAATTCAAACGATTAGATATCGTCATCGTCGAGGATGACCCATATTACTTCCTGCAAGAAGGCAAGTACGTGCCTAAGCTCGTCCGCAGCACCGAGTCGACGCCAGACGACGTCTCGCAGTACATTGCCAGTTTGGCACCGAGCTTTTTGAGGTGCGCCGAGCTCGCAACATATGTTTATATGCATTTATTGACATATTGTTGTACAGATATGACTACCAAGGCCGCGTCATCCGCCTCGACACATTCTCAAAGGTGCGTGGTTTTGTAGACACAGAGAACTCGGCGCTTACTGGCGATGCAGACGATTGCCCCTGGCAGCCGTCTCGGCTGGTTCACTTGCAATCCCCTCTTTGCCGAGCGTCTCGAGCGGGCGGGCGAAGTCTCTACCCAGGCGCCGTGCGGCTTCGGCCAGGTATTTCCACCTGACGTCCTTCTCCCTTTCCATTTCTGACACCCCTTCAACAGTCCATCATCACCTCTTTGCTTCTGAACTGGGGCTTCGAAGGCTACATCCGGTGGCTCCGCGGGCTCGGCACGCAGTACAGGTCCCGCCGCGACTTTTTCATCGACACGTTCGCGGACGAGTTCGATCTGACCTTGTCGACGGGCGAGGGCGGCGCGTGGAGGGGGTGCGACGTGTACGCTGCGAGCGAGAAGCGGGACGCGCACGGGGAGGGGGAGAAGTTCGCGATGACGGCGCGGACGCCGCTGTTTAGCTTCGTGCCGCCGACGTCGGGGATGTTCATCTGGGTGCGCGCGTCTCCATGCGGCTGGCTGCTGTCGTGTCCTCATTTTAGGCGTGTTTTGTCGTAGCTCAAAGTGCACTTTGAGAACCACCCGGCGTTCTCGCCCGACGACGACAGCTTCGAGATGAAGCTGTGGGTCGCGCTCGCCGAGGCGGGGCTCATCATCTCCCCCGGGTGGTTCTTCGTCGCGGACGACGAGAATTCGCCCGACGGGCCCAATGACGGGCACTATCGCATCTCGTTCAGCTTCTCCGAGGTGCGTGGGTTCGCGAAATCGAGACTCTGATGACTGGTTGACGGCGCGATGTGCAGTTTGACGAGCTCAAGAAGGCAGTGGGTATCTTAGGAAAAGTTGTGAGGGAGTTTTTTAAGGAGGCGTAGAGGGTTGGTGTAGATGGGGAAATGAGGTTATTATGGTATTATTGTATGATTTAACAGAAATTGATGCAACACTGGATGACTATTATCACGAAACCATATGTTTGTGTGGCCGCATGGCGAAATGGCATCGCGTCTGACTACGATTTATCGTTTATCAGGAGATTGCAGGTTCGACCCCTGCTGTGGTCACTGGGGGTCATTTGCTCGAGCTTTTTATCTCCCTAAGCTTGTTATCCGTTGTTCGAACTACTATGCCAGCCGGCACCGTCCGCGTGTCTCCAGACACGACAACCTTGTTTTGACATGCGTGACACGGTACAGCTTATATCCAAGGTTCAATGTTACAGTATGTATCTTACTTCTGCGTTGTGACACTATTTTACGCCGCTGCACTGCTCACTGACAGACCTGCGACACCATCAGCGACTTCGTCGATAGGCCCTTCAATCAGCTTGGTGACCTTGCCGATGGCGACCGTTTTGCCTGTGGAGTTGGAGCACTGTGATCAGGTACACGTGGGGGGTGGACAACTTGAGGGCACTTACCCTCGTCTCGAAGGGTGAAGCGACCCAGCTGAGGGTAGTCGACGAATCGCTCTAGGCAGACGGGCTGGACCGTCTCGAGGACCGCGACGATCTTCTGTCCGCGCTTGGCGAACTGAGGTGGCTTCTTTGATTTGCGGCCGGTGGCCTTGTCGAAGTAGTGTAGTAGGGCCTGTAGACGAGATTAACATGCATACGCAGCGTACATGGGATGCCTTACCGTCAATGTCACCTCCTCAGCAAGCGTATGACAATGCATCACAGCCGAGTACCCCGCACAGATGATGTTCCTATGATCAAGGACAGCTAGCTGCGCCTCGAACTGCCGCACGGCGTGTACCGGCTTCTGCGGGCTCGTGAGCACGAAGCCGGGGCTGACGTCCTCGTCCTCGACGCCGCGCAGGCGGATGCGCACGTTGTCGCCGCACAGCGCGCGGTCGACCTCGTCCTCCATCTCGTTGTAGATGCCCGCGACGTCGACGACGATCTTGTTCGGGTAGAGCGAGAGCGTGTCGCCCTTGCGCAGGCGCCCCGACTCGATCTTGCCGACGACGATCGTGCCCATGTCCTTGTACTTTTCGGAGATGGGCATCATGAGCGGCGCGTTGACCTTGCGGTCGACCATGGGCATTTTGTCGAGGTATTCGAGGAAGGAAGGGCCGCTGGAAGGGATGGAGGTGAGATGAGGGGGTGGGGTTAGTGGTGTAAGACTTACTTCCACCAGTTGCAGACGGAGGGTGACACCCGCTCCTTCACGTTCGCACCGGTGTACGCGGAAATAGGGAGAAAGGTCACGTCGGTCTTGGGGTTGAAGCCAGCGGCCTTGACGAACGGCGTCAACTTGTCCTGGACCTCCTTGAAGCGCGCTTGAGACCACTCGACGGTGGACTCGTCCATCTTGTTCACGACGACGATGACCTTGGACACGCCGGCGGTCTTGACGAGCATGATGTGCTCGCGCGTCTGGCCGCCCCTCTCGAAGCCGGTCTCGAACTCGCCCTTGCGCGCGGAGATGACTAGGACCGCGACGTCTGCCTGCGCGGCGCCGGAGATCATGGAGGGGACGAAAGTCTTGTGGCCCGGAGCGTCGAGGATGGTGTAGCGCCGCGAGGAGGTTTCAAAGTATGCTCGCCCGACTTCCTGGGTCTTGCCCTTTGCGCGCTCTTGGGGCGTCGAGTCGAGCGCCCAACTGAGGTACCAGGACTCTCGGCCGAGCTCTTTGGCCTCGCGTTCGTATTTTTCCATGGTACGCTTATCGATCGAGCCGGAGAGGTAGAGGATGTTTCCGCCGAGCGTACTCTTGCCCGCATCGACGTGACCGATGAAGACGATATTGAGGTGCTCCTTGACTGCAAATGAGATCAATTGCAGATACCGCTGGTGATCAATGGATCGACGTACCATCTCCGAAGAGATCCTTCAGCGTCTCCGAGTCGGCAGCAGTGTGTACGTCTTGTATAACGGCACTTGTATCTGTTTTAGCCCTTTCGGTGGTAAAGGTTTTGGAGGAAGATGGGGCCGGTGAAGACCTCGATGATGAGGACTGGGCAGTAGATGAAGCAGCAGGAGCGGTAGGTTTCGGGGGTTGAGTAGCAGTAGCAGGGGCTGGTGGGATGGGAGTGGCATTGCCGGATGATGGCTTGGAGCCGCCAATGTTTAGAGAGATCGTTGGTGCAGGGGCCTGTGCTGGGGGTGGTCGTTCGACGGGTTGGGCGGTTGCTGGCAGCCTGGACCCGCCGATGTTGAGTGAGATGGTTGGCGGCGGAGGGGGGGCCTCGGTAGGGGTGGGCCGCTCGAGGGGCGCCGGGGGTGGTTGCTGGCCGGGAACGCGGAAGGCCTTGCCTGGGACGAACTCGAAGGCGTTGACGTTGAGCTTGCTCATGGCGACGGGGCTAGTGGTAGCGATACAGGATACAAGTACACTGCCAGTACAGTACTACACTCTGGCTGCCTGAGCTCATCCTGTAATTTAAAGTTTTCCACTTTAGGCAACCTCTGTAATATTTCTCCCACGATCCCGACCGCGCCGGCACCGTCCATGCCATCATACCCATAGCACTCAGTTATCCTCCCTCCATGTCCGCAGACCAAGACAAGTATCTCGCCGTACTCAAGGCGTCATACGACTACGAGCCCCAGGCAGAGGATGAGATAGAGGTCAAGGAGAACCAGCTCCTCTTGCTACTCGAGAAGACAGATGATGAGCAAGTCCCCTCCGGCTGCTATGCTGTCACCCTATTGACTCCTCCGATACTAGCTGGTGGAAGGTCAAGTGCAAGTCTGACAACCCCGACGAAGAGGGGCCTACTGGTCTGGTCCCGTCTGCCTACGTCGAGGAGGTCAGTTCCGTCCCACGCAGCCGGTCGCAGGTATTGACCCTATACCACCCAGGCCGAGCACACCGCAACCGCCAAAGCTCTCTATGACTATGAAGCATCAGCCCCCGGCGAACTCACGATAAAGGAGGATGAGCTGCTGCTTGTATTTGCCAAAGAGGATGATTGGTGGCTTGTGCAGAGTAAGAGCGAGGAGGCCGGTGCCGGATATGTACCAGCCACATATGTTGAAGAGGTGCGTAGCTCGCTACATTCATTCAGATATGATACTAAGCTGCCCTGCAGACTACCGATGATGCCCCCTCCCCTCCTTCCATCCCCTCATTAGGCAACATCGTCGTACCTCCGTCGGTATGTCCCACTAGCTCTATTAATGGAGTTTGTCCCTAACAACGTCCCATCAGCCTCCACGCCCAGTCAGCACTTACGTCGACCCAGCCGATCGGGTCGCTGCTACAAAGGCCAGCTCAGATGATATCCAGACATGGTCAGTCTCCGAGGTCGATAAGAAAGGCAAGAAGAAGAAAGGCACATTAGGCGTCGGTAACGGTGCCGTATTCTTCGCTAGTGAGTCTGACAAGGTCAGTATCCACTATTCTATCCCGCACAACCCCATCCAAATCTCTCCACCCCCTAACCCAAACAGACTCCAGTCCAGAAATGGCAAACCGCGGCCATCGCCTCCTCCAGGATCGACAAATCCAAGCACGTCCTCATCGAAATCGCCGATCCGCCCACGAGCCTGCACTTCCACGCGCCCTCGAAAGACGTAGCGGAAGCGATCGTCGCGAAGCTCGACTCGTCCAAGGCGCTCTCCACCCCCAGCCCTCCTCCCGAGCGCGCTGTGACGCCGAAGGTGCACTTTGCCGAGGAGGAGCCGGAGGTCATCCCCCCGCGCGAGCCGAGCCCGAGCGAGGACGGGTTCGAAGAGCCGCAGGCGGAAGAGGTGGAGGAGGAGGAAGCGGAGGAAGCGGAAGTGGCACATGCGGAGGGCGAGGTGGCAACGGCGCTGTACGATTTCACGGCGGACGGGGAGGACGAGTTGAGTATCGTGGAGGGGGAAGCGTTGGTGGTGCTGGAGAAGGACGGGGATGAATGGTGGAAGTGCAGGAACGCGCAGGGGGTGGAGGGGGTGGTGCCTGCTCAGTATCTCGAGGTACGTCCTGTTCATCGCTCACGTGCAGCTTGTGTCCTCGTTTGTGGAGTTTGAGGAATCTTTTTGGCTGATGGTGTGGTGGCAGTTGAAGTCTGGCGGTGCGCCTGCCGCACCTGCAGAAGACAAGGCTGCCGCCGCCGCCGCCGCCGCTGCTGCTGCTGCTGCCGAGGCCGAGCGTGTCGAGCAGGAGCGCATCGAGCGCGAGAACGCGAAGGTTGCACGTGAAGCGAAGGCGCGCGCACAGGCTGCCGCGCAGGTTGCCAATGCAGAGCGCAAGCAGAGAGAAAAGGAGAGGGAAAAGGAGCGCAGAGAGAAGGAGGCGGCGGAGCAACGGAAGAAGGCGGAGAAGGCGGAAAGGGCGCAAAGAGAGGAGGCGGCAACGGCGCCGAGGACATCGTATGTGGTTTTATGTTTGGGATTGAGGTTGCTACTGATGCTGGTGTAGGATGTCGTCCGCGAGGAAGTCGACAGATCGTGCGGAGGATAGGGAACGGAGTGGGTCGACGAGCCGAGCGTCAACCGAGAAACGTGAGTGATATTTGTTCGACTTGCTCTTACTGGATTGCTGACGCGCATATTTCTGAAGGTGGTCCACCTCCGGAGCAGTGCCGTATCTGGCGCGATCGTACCGGGCAGTTCACTGTCGAGGCTGCCCTGCTGGGGTACCAGAATGGCAAGCTCCGACTGCACAAGGCGAACGGCGTCATCATCGAGGTGCCCTCCGAGAAGATGTCGCAGGAGGACATGGATTTCGTCAAGAAGCTGACGAGCAAGAAGTCCGGGCGCTCGTCGACTGCTGCGGACGAGGATGACGACCAGCCGCTTGCGGAGCGACGGCGCTCTATGCAGCCCGCGGCAACCCCCCAGCGCGTTGCGCCGCCGAAGAAAGGCCCGACGATCGACTGGTTTGAATTCTTCCTCAACGCGGGGTGCGATATCGACGACTGTACGCGGTACGCGCAGTCGTTCGAGCGGGATAAGATCGACGAGGCTATCCTCCCGGATATCACGGAGAGCACGATGCGCTCGCTCGGCTTAAGGGAGGGCGATATTATTAGGGTGAAGAAGGCGATTGCGGCGAAGCAGCCGAAGGCGCAGGCGGGCGATGGGGAGCAGATTAGGAGGGACGAGGAGCTGGCGAGGCAGCTGCAGACG